CATCCCTATTCCCTATTGGCAATTTGGGTAACCTCTTCAGAGGATGGTGTGATATGAACAGGAGGTAGGAAGTGGCTAGGCAGTTAGGGTAAAAAGACCCCAAAGAAAAGTAGCCAGTTTCTTGTCTAAAAGTCAAAGTGTCATGGGGCCTGTTAGCAACATACTCTGCTCAGGGGCCAGAAATGTCAAGGGTATTTGGGAGCTTGTATCTAATCCTTGAAGGATATTGGGGTTGCCTCTTGGAGGGGGGATGTTGGAGGGGAGGGAGTGGGTGTGAATTTGATCTGAACACCTTGTATGCATGTATGTAATTCTCAGTAAACTTTCTGTAAAAGTTAAAAAAAAGATGTGCCAAAAGAAAACAAAACAAAAGCCTGCTTATTCCAGACTTTAACAGTCACTCCTATCTGCAGTGTGCAGTATCTTTGTTAGTGAGCTTTATTAAAGGATGCATGGACAGGGGGTGGTTGGCACTGCCTTTTTCTTTTGTGAATCAGCACCAAAGCCTGACAATAGGGGCAGGAGGAAGACACAGAGGATGTGGGTTTAGAAAGCATCAATCAATTTAGGTCCTGTTTACGAGCAGGACCTGTAACCCCAGGTGGGACACACCAACCAGAAAATTGTTTGTTTTCATATAATGAAGTAATTAAGTACCATACAATGACACCATTCACACCTTTATTTTAAAAGAAACTGGATCATCAATACCCTTTCAGAAAATGTGCACACTTTTATGTATAGCTTGACCAGATATGGTAAAGGACATAGTACGTCCATCATTTGTGTCAGGAAATGCTGTGTGTCTATGTACGTAGTAGCTGTCCTCATGTTGTTTCTTATCACTATTTGTGCCCATCTCTCTAAGGCAACTAATATGTTAACATTATATTTTATCAAGTTTTGAACTCAATTCAAAATGGAATCATGTACTGTGTAATATATCACCTGTTTTCTTTTGTTCAAACTTGTTTGTGAGACTAACTGACTTCATTGCCTACAGTGATCATTTGTTTTTTTCCATTGATCTGTGCATCACTGTGTGATGGGATCACACTTTGTTAATATGCTGTATTTTTAATGGACGTATTTTCATCATTAAGCCTAGTGTGCAGCAAGCTCTTATGGGTATTTTTGCCCACATATTTTTGTGAGTATATGTTCACATGTTCTTGGAGTGATGGGGAAGGGAGAATCATTCTTTTTGGCATGTGTGGACACTGGTTGGGCTCCCGTGCTCTGGTGGATGGCCCCACACTCATTCACATATGGGCAGCACTAAGTAGATTTAGTGGATTATTAAAAAAACAAATAGGAGACCTGAAATCAGGAGGGATCGTGCTGGGGTGATTGAGGGGAATTGGAGGGGGTATAGGAATGGATATGATCAAGTCTCTTTGTGTACATATTATGAAATTCCCAAGAATAAAGAAAAAATAATTAAAACATTTTTAAAGGTTAAAGTAGCGCACTTGACTTGTTCTCCTCTATACAGATCATCTATACCTGGCATAGACTTTCACTCCTTTTTTCCATTTTGGCTATATATCTATTTAGTACTATCTCATTATAGATATTATAGATTTAATTTAAACTTCCATGCAAAATAATGAGGTGATTTTTTATATGTGCATTGGACATTGCTGTTTGCCTTTTGTGAAGTGCAGATCATGTCTTGTTTCTGCTGAACTCCCTGTCTTTTAAATTACCCATTAAAATTCTTTATATGCTCTGGATACTGCCCTTGTTCATTTTTTGTTTACCAATGCCGCTTCCTGTGCTAAGGCTTGCCTTGTCCCTGTCGTAAGCCCATCGTTTCCACTGCGTAGCATTTACAGCGCTTTCTGTTTCTTGTGTAATGTTGGTAAGTGTCCTACACTCATGTAGCTATTATCATGAATTATGCCTAAGAAATGCTACTGGATTACCATTTACTTTAAAAATTAATATGTTATAATTTATTATATATTATTTGTACAAAATAATGGATTTCATCGAGTTTCATACGTGTAGGTAGTGTCCTCTGACCATATTTGTCATCCATCATGCTCTCTTCTCTCATCACTCCCTTCCTGATGGTTCCTTCCTCTTTCCAAGTGGCCCCTTCTACTTTCACATTTTACAATATTTTATTCGTTAGTTTTATTTTATGTGTATGAGTGTATTGCCCGCATGTATGTAAGTTCACCTGTGTCATGCAATGCCTGCGGAGGTCGGAAGAGGCGTCAAATCCCCTGGAACTGGATTATGAACGATTATTGGCCACCATGTGGGTGCTGGGAACTGAACCCGGGTCCTCTGCAGGAGCAGAGTCATTAACTGTTGCGCCATCTCTCCAGCGCCCCCCCCCGGTTTGTTTCTTGATGGACACCTAGGCTGATTCCATAACTCGGGCCCTGTGAACAGTGCCATGTCGACATGGGTGTGCAGTCTTACCATTACCCTGGAACTGGTTTGTGTCTTGTATGAGGATAATATTCACCTGTATGTGCAGTTGTTCTGAAACCTTGGAGAAGGCCAGCCTTTCTGCTGTGGCAGATTTGCTGCCAATCAAGTGATCTTGTGGGAGTCGATCCTTTTTTCTGCTATACTAACTCAGGTCATCCAAAGCTCTGGGGAGAAAATGGACTCCCAAAGCCAAGCATGAATTCGTTAATATTATTTCTTTCCCACATATTTCCTCACAGTTTCTTATGGTCTTGGCATGTCTCCAATCAATGGATAAAGATTTAAATTTTTTTTGGAATTGTCAATTATTATCACTGTGGTGAGCTGTCTAATACCCTCTCCTCTAGAATTTACGTTTCCTCTACTTGAGAAGATGGGAAATTAGGGGACAACAAGGACAGGGAGAAGAGAAATACGAAGGAAGCATCTTCACCTTGGGTAAACCAAGCCTTTGTTAAAACTATCTCCATCTCAATTCTTAACCCTGATTCACTTAATAAGCTTTGGACCAAAGGTACATGCATTTTGGATAGTGAAAGACTGAAGCCTTCTGTTTCATACCTCATAGTTCACTCATTCATTAATTTAAAAAAGTGGTAGTCCCTTAGAACCCCTGTGGAATTGTTTTAATGATGCCTTGAGAATACTAAGATCTTTGAATGCTCAAATACTTTATATAAACTAGCAGTATATTTACATAGGACATATACATATGGACATTCTTCATACATCTTGCATAAGCCATCTTTGGTTACTTAGAATATCTAATAGGATGAATCCTTGCTTGCTTTTGCAATGCCAGGCATGAAATCTGTTGTCTCCCACATGTTAGGCAAGTGCTTTACCACTGAGTGACTCTCAGCAGCAAATCTTATAGAATATGAGTGTATGCACATAATTGTTCTATATTTTACATGTAATAATGCCAGGAAAAGTCTGTATGTGTTCAGCACAGTCACGTTAGTTTTTCTGATTATTTTGGTCTGGGGTGAGTTGAATCTATTGTTGGGGAGGCCACAGATGGAGGGCAGACTCCATGTGTTGAGTGACTGTGCTATGTTAAAGAGCTAAGATGCTTAGTGCAAAGCAACAAGGACCCAAAGTATCGCGCAAGACTTGCTGGTATCTCTTTCAGGAGTGTGTCATAGGAATGCAGAGGACGGACCTGGGAGGCTGACCATGATTCTTGTTTTGCTTTTACAAGTTAATAACCTGATAGTTTTACAAGATACTTTTTTATATCGTTAAAATGGATATAAAACTCCTTATTTTGGTCATCATTTCACTTTCCTGAATTCTATTCCGGTTGACCATTTCTTTATAATTTTTGTTCATATATGTTTATCTTAGTATGAGATGTTGGGATCCGGCCTTGGTGTTTTTAATGAGGTGTCATGTAATTTCTCCACAGGTGTTTTGGCACCTTGATACCATCCGTTATCGGAATGTATATTAC